TGATTTCTGTGGCTTTCAAAGCGTCGCTCCACGTGGAGCAGATTTTGAATCTTTAAAGCTGATTGCTACAACAGTGAGAGATCACATTTTTTTGGGTATCAGTTTGAACCAGGGCACATTAGTATCAGATTCAGGTCTAGAGCTACAGTTTCTATAGTTACTAGTGCACTGGTGTTTCACTGAACTACTGCAATGTTGATTTTATAGTGGCTCTGCTCCCCCTTTACTAGGACAGGTCTGTAATGAGAGGTTTGGTGGGCTCATCCCTCTGGATATACTTTTAGGAGGTTTCTCAGGACCCTATATTTACTGAGTGGTACTTGGTAATGAAGCAGGCAAGATATAACACAACCAAAACCTGTAATTTAATGTGAGATTTAGTCTTCTTGTGTGTCTCTAGGAAATTGGATGGGTGATGCCTGGCTGGAGAAGAAACTCAGTGCCTCATTAGGAGCAGAACGTCCTCATTTTCACCTTCTAAAACTGCTTTGTGGAGGTCAATATGAAAACTTGCAGGGAACAGAAGAAAATTTGGGCAGTTATTCTGTTCCAGAGGAAATTATTTTGGCCGGAGGAAACGCAGGCACATTCTGCTCCCTCAAATCCCCTGGAATTGGTCACAAGACCTCCAGTGCTGTTCTCACAGCAGAGCCACAGCCACCCCACCACCACCTTTGCTGGGTTGAGTCTACCCAAGCTGGTAAAACACATTTCCTTTAATCTGCCACTCCATTGCTGTTTGATTTTAAAGCAAGCCAGGAAAGTTACTACTTATGAACCTGATCCAGAGCCCACTGGGCTCAAGAAAAGATTTCTCCATTGAGATCAGCAGGCCCTGAGCACCCTGGGGTTGTTGCTGAGCATCCTTCCTAACAGCAGGGACAGGCAGGTGGGCTCCTCTGCACAACCACCACCACCCAGGACCTCCTGTGGGGATGTAAAGATTTCATCCTCCTGCACTTTGAGTCTTTTTTCACTTCTGTTCCTCACACAGTGCCACTTAGTTGACTTCAGTCAATTCAGTTTCTGTCCTCAGCGAGAGGAGACTTGGACCTGAGAAGTCCAACAGAGCATGGGCAGAGGAACACTGCTTGGAAAGTTTGGCTATGGGGGGAAGCAGGGAGGAAATCACCTCCTTGCATCACCCAGGTTGCTCCATGTGCCCCTGTGCCAGTTTGTGGCAAGGCAGAGGCAGCTCCACTGCTCCCCTACCACAGCCTGTCCTCCCCTTCAGGGGGGGGTATTTGAAAAGCTTTGATTAGGAATTTATCAACTTGGGTCAATATAATTCACTGGTCTGTTGGAACCCTCACCTACTGCATCACTTTCTGATTCCAGAAACGCCTCTTGCCCTGGAAAGATCTGTTTCTAGATGCTAAAACTCTCTTGGTCCTCATTTGGACCTTCCAAAATGCATCTGCGGATTTGCTGGTGCCAATCTGGAACGCAGGGCACTGGTTTGCTTTTGTCCTTTCCAGAGAGCCCCAGGATGCTGCTCCCAGGCAGCGAGGAGATGCTGGACCGAGCCTGCTCCTCAGGGCTGGGTCTCCATTGCCATCTAGTGGCACCAGGACCAGTGTCCTCACCCCTGTCCCCTGCGAAACCCTGACCCACAGCCACGGGCTGCGCTCAGGAGCAGGGGCTGAGCCCCTCTAAAGCTAAAGAGGTTTCTTGGATGCAACCAAAACTGCCACTCGGTTGTATGGGCTTTTTTTTCCCCATTCCTTCCTGAATTCTGTCACCTCCAGGAAGCTCCCAAACAAACTCCTCACTACAGGGAAACGTCTCATTGACTGCGTGGGGTTTTGTCTGCAGTAAATCACCTTCAGTTCTTCCTGCTTGGGCTCCCTCCTGGGGGCTCGTTTGTTTTACTTCCCTGTGGCTTTTCCTCAATAGCAACCACTTCTTGTTTGTACTCTGGAGAGCATGAACCACCCCTTCAGCAAACCACAGGTGACGCAGGACTTGGGCCTTGTTTACACAGTGCAGGGCTGGGAGAAGCTCCATGGCTTTAACAGAGGAGGGCTGGAGATCAAGGAGGGCAGTGAAGGTGTGACCTTGTCCTCTTTGTCCTCCCCCACCAACCAAAACCCTCTTTTTGCCTTCAGAAGCAATTGTCCTCTGCTTCAGGAGGAGAGCATGTATCAGTCAGTTGGTCAGACACCAATCCACGGGGTGTCCATGTCACCTGCTGTCCCACCAGTCAGGCAGTGGTGCCTGCAGCTCCTAAATCCACGAGGGGCTTTACTAACACTACAACTGAAGCATAAATCTAAATCCAAACTCTCCTCCTTGGAGACCACCAGTGAGGTGCAGGGAAGCGTGAACCCCCACGGAGGCACCACCATGACCTGCAATGAAACCTGGAGCCCCATGGAGCCACCCCAATGACCTGCAGTGAAGCCTGGAGCCCCATGGAGCCACCCCAATGACCTGCAGTGAAGCCTGGACCCCCAAGGGGTGGCCCTGACCCCATTAGCAGGATGGACTTCCCAAGCTCTAAATCCAGACTCTCCTCCTTGGGGACACCACGATGACCTGCAGTGAGGCCTGGAGCCCCATGGAGACACCACCATGACCTGCAGTGAGTCCTGGATCCCCATGGAGCCACCCCAATGACCTGCAGTGAAGCCTGGACCCCCAAGGGGTGGCCCTGACCCCATTAGCAGGATGGACTTCCCAAGCTGCACAGATCCAACCCACCCCTGCCAAGAACAGCAGCTGGGAAAGGGGATGAAGAACACACACAGACACATGTACCTGTGAAATACGGGTTATATTTCTATGCTTTCATAGCAGATAATACTTCATACAAGATTGGGAAACACAATTTCAAATATTTTAAGTTACCTGTACACCTACACAACCTGTTTAGGGAACAGGAAGGCCTTGGTGCTGCTTCCTTCAACCCATGACTTGCCACTCCCACAGCAACATCATAAATGCCCAGAATCCCACGAGCTTTTCTCTTTGTCTGGAAACAACACACTCAGATAAAGCTCCTTTATAAACACTCAAATTGCATTGCAATATCCATACGTATATATTAAGAAAAACCTCTACCTTTCATAAATACATCATACATAAAATATGTTCCCAAAATACATTCATGCATTTTCCCCACCTAAGATCCCTGGTTGTACCCAAAGTGTCTGTAAGCTGGCAAAGGCAACCACTGGAGACAGGCTGGCGTTTGCAGGTGGCTCCAAACTCAGGCTGAGGTTGTGGAGAACCCTTTGGCATTTGGGTGGTGTTGGGGTTAAGTCCTACACCAGTAGGTCTAATCCTGCCTCCCTGGGAAAACAGGGCTCTCCTGCACGCTGTGACCTGTCAGAGCTGCACGAGCTGCCCACGTTCAAGCAGCCAAAAGCCACCTTCCATCTCCCTCTTAGCACCTCTAGCTTTCACAACAGTTACTGGAGAGGCTCAAGTCTCTCCCAGTGCTTGACAGAGGCTGGGAAACAAGGGCTTTGGAAGTAGGAAGGTCACTATTTGGAAGAGGATCTGTGAATGGAAGAAGCTGCTTGCTCAATCACCATCAACCTGAAGATTGACCACACTCCCAGTGCTGCCATCCCTGCCTGCAACAGGAACAGCTTCACCTCTGCTCCAGGAGTTGGCCCTTGCTAACCAAGGAAACAAATGCCCATCCTGTGTTTGTTTAGGAAAGCATAAATACACAAAATATACAAAAACCATCTACAAAGCAGCAGCTGGCACAGAAGAAGTGCCAGTTTTGCAGCTCAGCAATGTAGGTCCCGTCCCCGTGAACGTGGCTTATACAGTGTAGGACTCCAGGAGCTGGCCACAGCCCTCCCCTGGAGCTGTACCTGGCTCATGTGGCTGTGCAAATACAGGCAGACTCAGCACTAACCTCACCTGATCTGGGTTGAGAGGGAAGCCAGACACACGCCTGCCCAAATTCCACTTTTCCCCAACAGAAAGGTCCTGGTCAATATTGCAAGTGCACATTCAAAGGTCACTTTGGGAACGTTGCCCTCTCTACTTGCAAGCAGGCCAGGCAGAAGTCAGCGTCCCCTGTCCACAAGGCAGTCTGTCCTTAGGGCAAGAGAGGTCTAGAGGTCTAGAGATTAAATTAATCTCATTCTGACTCTTCTCATCTACTCCAACTCAACGTCTTTACAGAGCAAGCGAAGAGAAGCATTGCATAGATCTGCACCTCACACCCTCCCACACCCAGCACCCAGCAAGCAGTAAGTTCAAGTTTTGCACAGGACGTTACAAAAGGCATCAGCTTGAAACAACGTGAGGAAAAAAAAAAGATCCATGAAGTGTCCCCAGGGTGTAAACCCTGCAGTGAAGTGAGGCAGTGACCCTACAGGGCTGGGCAGCACTCGGGGAGGGCTGCCTGTAGTGTACTGATGAACCTGATAACCAAACCTCCTCCCAGCCCTACCTCCCATTGCACAGGAATGAGAATTTGCATAATTAGATAGTCTGCTCCTGAACAAAAGGAGCAGTCTTCATGTCACGGGAAGGAGGAGGATGCTCCTGGGGTCACCTGGTTTGCACACAGTAGTCGAAGGGCCAGTTGTCCTCTTTGCCACATAGACTGTAGGCCAGCAGGGCTCTCCTCAGGCCTGGGAAGCCCCCAGAGAAGTTTTGCTACAGTTGGCTTTACAATGGAGATATCAGGGCCCGGATCCTCTGGTGGTTTAAATCCTAGGTGCTCCATTGGAGTTACTGGTGCTTCTTTCCACGAGTGGAGAATGTGGTCCTTGCTTGTCACAGACAGAGAATAAAGCTACGGTAGCCCTTTCTTTAAATAACATTAAATAACTGCATATGGCACCAGCACACAGTTTTCAATGTGCTTCTGCTGTTAAGAAAATAGCAAACACACTGTTGGTTAATTAAATTATTTATCTTGAACTAAAAAAAGTGATCATGTTACGATTAATTAAAAAAACCCCTAGGGATTGCTTAACGTCTTCTCGTCGTGTTTCTGAGACTGAGAAGGTCACTTGCACGGGTGAGTGCTATATGTCCTCTCCAGCTGGCAGTGAAGGTTTGTGTTCCTGGTGGTCACAGTTCCCATTTTCGGATGTGTCCGAGCTGCCCGGGGCTGACTCTGCTGGTGGAGGTTTGTAGAGTAAACAGGCAACTACAAAGAAGATTGTCCCAAGCACCTGCAGCCGTGGAGACATCCCGTTACTCCCTGCTCCCCTCCAAGCCAAGCACCCAGCCCTCACTGGGGATGAGCCTTGCTGACCAGGTGTTGGGGAGGAGATGATGCTGGAGGCACCAGACCAGCACACAGAGCTGGAGGGGCTAAAAATCCAAATGCATCCAGCCCCACAGCAATGGGACAGGGAGAGTTTGGAAAGCTCCTCAGCCCCACAGGGTCACCTGGAGCACAGCACTGTGTGAACTGACAACTCCTGAGCCATTTTCTAGAAGGCTTTTGAAAGCTTCTTTCAAAATCAAGAAATCCTCAAAATCCTAACTGTTAAACACTACAATCCAGGGCAAGGGCTTGTTTGGGAGCAGTTAAAATTATGGTTTTCAGCTAATAAATAAGACCCACAGAGCTAAACTCTCCTATTTTCTAGCAGTGATCAGGGAATGGTTATTTACAGCCATCCCTCACTCACTAACACACTCCAGTTTTCTATTTTACTCCATTGCTATCAAAAATCACTCCAGCAACCACTAGGAGAAGGGCTGTAAGCACAGAAAGTGATGGGAACTTAAGAGAATGATGGTGCCTGGAGCACCAGTGAGAAGCAAATGGAGCTTTTGTCTTCCCCAAGAACACTTCTAGTGTGAAGGTCTAATTTAGGCTGGGGGGGGAACAACCCAATAAGAATTTTTGGACAACCTGATTTTGTAAAATTCTCTCCCAGAGCAAACAGTTGCTTTGTCAGAGAGTGAAGGGAACAGGCAGCATCACCTTGTAGACCAGTCCAGCGACGAGGGTGTATCGGCTCATGGCTGAGTTCTGGTAGATGAAGCAAGAACCTTGCTCCCCACACTGGTCCTGCCAGAGCAGGCAGGACTTATCAATCATGGACCCAAAGGCAATGGGGCCAGGGATGCCTCCTGTGGGAAGAGAGAGTGCACCTTCAGCCTTGTCAGGTGGAAGGTGCTTGCAGAAAAGCAGCAGGCTCTGCTGCTACCGTAGTGAGCAAATTCATCCTGCAATGTCTAGAGCCACAAGACATCCAAAAGAGGCAGAATTTCAAGACCTGAGAGTCCAGTGGGCCTTTGGACCATCTTGACCTGCAGGCTACACAGGAGAGTCAATGCCTCTGCTCCCTTTTTCTTCAAATAAGGACACCTTGCCAGGATTTGCTCCTCTACCTTCCCTGTGACATGTTGCAGAACCCCTCATTCAGTTTGCAAATCATAGGCAAAGGGAATTAGGATCTTCTGAAGGACAGCAAACAAAACCAAACATCCTCCTCTCAGCAACACACGGCCTACTCCCTTCTTTTCCAACCCAACATGCTTTATCCTTAGGTAGGAGCTTGGCACAAGCCAACAGACCATGCCCATGCCCAAGCCCACTGTTCCATACCTAGTGTTCGTACTACGATCCACTGGATCCCGAGTGCAAACGACCTCTGCCTGTCAGAGACACACCTGGGGAACAAAAGGACATGGTTTTGAGATGCTGCTGGGCTGCACAGCACCTCCCACCCCACAACCCACATTGCTCCAGCACGCCTGGGAGATTCACCCCAGGGCAATGTCCCTCCACTGCTGCAAACCAGGACACGTGTGGGTGTCCCACGGCAGAGGATAGAGCTGCCAATGCTAAAATTTGGATCCCCAGCCAAGCAGGGAAGGGAGATAGTCCTGATGTCTCCAGTAATGGTGGTTCCCATCACACCCTCCCCATGGCTTGAGCAGGATGAAGCAGAGGGGTGCCTATTGGGGCTTTCTGCAGCATTGGTGGGGGTCCAAACGATGCTGTGCTCACCGCAGAGTGGCAGTCAGGGCAGTAATGCTGCTCAGGAAGGTGAAGAGGATCACCACGAACATGAAGAGCAGGAGCAGGGGCTTTTTGGCACAAGAGGAACTGCATTTCCCTGCCTCTGCACTGCCAGGGCCAGGCAGGAGGGGTTTCTCAATGCAGCTACACTCCTGATAGACCTGGGAAAGAAAGGTCAGGGGGTGGTTTACCAGGGAGAGCACAGGGATAGCCAAAGCTTTAAAAAGAAATAAATTCAGGGAGGGTAGAAACCAGCAGGTTTTGCTTCCAGAGCAGAGCGAAGCAGAAACCAAGCTGCATCCTCAACACAGATCTGTTTCAAAAACCAAATTATTAAATAAGAGAAATTAACTTTGTCAGGCAGGCCTTGAATGGTGAATGTCATCGTTGCCTTTCTTAAGCCTTTGCCTGGCTCTAGGACAGGCTGGAAGGATGAAAAGCTGCATCATGTTCACTGAAGACCCAAAATAATAATAACCCTAACTTGCTCCCTGTCTGGCTGGGTGATGTACCACAGATTTCAGCACAGTTTAACCCAGAATGAGGCAAAAACACTTGGACAGTGAGAGAATGAAACCAGAGTAACCTCTGGGTACCTTCTGCCTCCATCCCAGGTGGTCCCTGAGAGCACCCATCCTGCACTGGGCTTTTACACTGAATTTTCTGCATTTTTTTTTGCTTTGCAGCAAAGCTCAAACCTGTGGCCACCTTTTTCAGAGCCAGCCAAAACACTCCACAGCAGCTGTGCCACCACCTTGCTAACACATAGTGCTTTCAGACATACCTTCTTGCCACTCCTGAGGTTTTCGGACACTTTTTTGCACCCAGCATGGCAGGGGGAGTAATACATGATGTCATTGCTCCCGCAGACAGGGCTGTAGGTCTCCTGTAGACAGCCACACTCAGCATTGCAGGCTGCTGTCAGGTTCAGGTGGCCACCAGGCAAAGCACTAAGGGAAATACAGGAGCAGTCAGTGGGGAGACACTGAGCAGCATTTTCCAGGAGAAAAGGGGTAGAGCAAGAGAAGGAGAAGGCAGGATGGTAGGAGATGTGGTGGATCCCCAAGAAGCATAAGGCCAGGTATGGGAACAGGAAAAATCAGTGCCCTGGAGCTGTCTCTTTCCCACAGCTACCAAGGGGGTTTCAGTGACCAGGTCACAGGGAGACACCTCCCTTTGGAGAGGAGATTCCCACTTTTAGTCCATTTTATCCCTCTGCATAGAGACAGAGGATGCTGTGAAGGCACCTGAAGAGTGGAGCATCTCACACACTGGTGCTCCTGACCTCCCCTTCCCCACCAAAGAGGGAACCTCTTCCATAAACTCCAAGTAGGTGCAAAAAATTAGGATGTCTACATTCTGGGTCTCACTCTCAGTATCTGCCTGCAATACTGACTGGACACCAGCTTCCATTACCAACACGTTCTCACACGACTACCACCAGCACCATGTATTTGGAGCTATCCTCTTGTGCTGACCAGGGCAGAGATGATGATTGTCCTTACCTTCCATCATACATCTGGGTTACTCCTGCCATTGGCATGTTAGGGCAGTGAATAAAAAAGATGAATATAGCCAGCAGACTTGACACTGTGCAAAGCAAACACAGCTTGATGATTCCTGAACAACGGAGTTTAAATTTATTCACAAGGAATCCTCCCAGGAATGTGCCTCCCCCTCCAGCTGGCACGACCAGATAACCTGGGAAAAAGGAAAAAAATAAATAAAACCAACTCACAAGCAAGTTTAGAAATGTCAGAAAGGAGTTTTCATATCTGAATACATCAGTTGTGGTGTGTCTGCATGAGAATAACCCCCTGGCTGCTGCGTGGCTTCTTGGTGGGAGTTTAAGGGACATTGTTATGGTAGGTGGTTGTCCAAAAAAGCTCAGGTAACGTGCCATGAGCCTGGTGAGGCAGCTTTTCCTGTCCAGAGATCTTAAAAGAGACTCTCTGAGGAGCACATTGTGAGTAGTGCTGCTTGTTGGACATCACTTCCTCAGTCCATGACATGGCAGCCAAGTCAGGATCTTCCCAGCTTCAGGATGCTGACCAGCTGAGTCCCCCAGTTCAGACATTCCTCATCAGAGGAAACATTTAGTGAATGTTTTCTGGTATCACACTAGAAGGAGCAGACTACAGTTATTCTGCCTTCCCCTAGAGGGTAACAGGTGCCTGCAGAAGTGACACGTTTCTCCCTGGGATCAGTAGATACAGCTCTGAAAATGCACTTGGTACAGAGGTGCTGATGGGAAACGATCCTATCTAATAGCTGGAGGCAATAACCCCTCTGCAAATAAACTGCAAAGAGCTTTTGTCTCCACTCCAGATGAGCTACAGTGCTCCTATATTGCTAAGCAAAAGGCAAAAAAAAAACATTGCAAAAATCTGGTTTTCTTACCAAAAAAGGTAGCGGCTTCAGAGGCACTTAAACTGAACTGAGACTCCAGGAACTTGGGCCCAAACGTGGACATCCCAGCAATGAGGGTGGCTTCAGTTGCTCCCGCCAAGCAGAGGAAGATGAAGGTGGGGTTCTTCAGAAGCAGCAGTACTGATCTGAGGAGGACAAATACATTGGAATTGAATCACTGTGGCACATTTTGGTTTCAGGCCTGTCCTCTAGCTTCAAGTCAGAAGGACCACGTGTAAGATCAGGCAGCACCTCACCGTGCTGCATCTCCTGAAAGGAAAAACCAAAAGGGAGATAATAGGAGTTTGAAAGAGCAGCAGGTTTCTCCACTTATGCTGATGCAGTCCTATCTGCCAAGGAAGGATGCTGAAGACACCCTCACCTCTCCCTGCATACCTGCACAGAGTAGATGTTGGTGCTCTGGGGGAGACAGTCTCCACTGCAGATGAAGATCAGCAGTTTGTCCTTAAAATTCTCCTTTTTATATAATCTCTCCCATGTGCCAGCTTGCTCTGCTTCTTGTTCCTACTGAGCATTGTCCTGACTATCTTGAGGCATCTAACAGAGATGCTTACCTTGGAATTCTTCTACAGCCACCAAGGGAATCTGAGGAACACCAATCAAACACCTCAACCAGGAGGGGATAATCTGGGATTCTGTGGATCTCATGATGGCACCAGACAGGTCTATTTATCCCACATTCAAAAATGGGGGCTGGCTACCAGCACTGTGTGTGATAGAATTCCCACTCAGGATCCCCACGACTTGTACAGGGATAATCTGAGTGGTCATTTTCCAACATCCAGGCTTATTTTCCACTCTTAAATGGGGCAATACTGAAAGGACACTACCCCTCACCACATCTCAATCATTTCAAGGCTTTATTAGTCCCTGATGGTAGATATATTTGGACTCCCAACTCAAAAACAACCAAGAGCAGGGAACAAAGTTGTGCTACATCCTCACGTATGCACATGCTACTTATGTGCATCCACATCCTCAGGAGATCCTCAGTCTCTGATAACCATGGATGCTCTGCAGCTCAGGAGAAATGCCAAGCAAGCCTCTCTATATAGAGGAAGCACCTCCAAGACACCTTATATCCCACTGGAAAACAGAAAGCAACCTTTCTCCTACAGTCTAAGCACCATTTTACTTTAAGCTTAATAAGTCAAGCAAAAAAAAACCTTTTCTTTTTGACCCACTGGGATTTAGTCGAGAGCCACAGATATGCCTGAAAAATTGCCATGTGTCATTTTTATGCAGAAAGATGATCCAGCAGTGATTCCATCTCAGAGACACAGAAAGGCCCTCGGGCACATGAGATGGTCTCAATTATCTCTCACTATCTCGGATATTGGGCTAAGAGGGTTGACACTGGAGTGTTTTGTAACAAGCTGGAAATTCTGCCACGTGACTTCCCCAAGCTGAGGCTGGACCAGTCCCACCAATCATCCCTTTTCTGAGACAGGCCCAACCCTGTCATCCCCCAGCAGTGGCAGTGATGGGGATGCCGTGGGATGCTCTCTGAACTGAAAGGCCCAGCTGCTTTGGAGGAAATGTGAAATCAGAGAAAACCTACCGTGGTACAACCCAGGGAAAGACGTGCTGGGCTCAGCAGCAGATTTATGCAACTTTATCCCCATAAAGAGGAGAATTTCATTATACCAAAAGAATAAAGACACTGAAAGACAGAAATACGACACATTCTTACACCTTGATTACAGGGGGCTTTAAACCAACCACTGTCTAGCTGTTGGGACTGTTTTCATTTACTAAGCTATTTTCCAGGAATTATCTTTTCAATTGTGCTTTACTTGGAAGCACAAAGTCTAATCTCTCAGTGAGAAAAGAGTTCCTGTGGACCTCGTGGCTGATGTAGAAATGATACAATGCCTTCACCTTTTTACAGTTCAAGAGAAAAGCAAAGAGTTGTTCCCTGGCATTAGTGTGACTTCGTGCCTGTTGGCCAAAGGTTTCAGGATAGACTTGTAAGTAGGACAAAGCAGAGGAAGTCGTTTCAGTGCTAAGAGTAAGGATTTACTCATGTAATTTAATCTATTTGTAGACAGAAGACATAGCCGTGAGGAGCTACGTCACATGAAACCTTGCCAAAGTCAACACAGACCTTTTCATTGCTATCAGAAGGATCTTAATCACACCCAGAAATACCTGACTCTTGAATGTCCCCTCTTGGCTCTTCTCAGTTCTTCCAGCCAAAGAGATTTCAGGAAGCCCAGCACTGCTAAGAGAAGAATCCCACCATCTACAAATGCCTGATCCTGCAGGACATGGCTGGTATTATATATTTACTGATATGGGCACAAACTCTTTCCTCAGGTAATGGTCCTCCTGCGTGAGATGGGACCATGGTACAAGCAGAGCCTGCTCCTCTGAGGAACACCTGCATGCCCAGGACCCAGACTGCAGCACAGTTCAGCCACAAGCTAAGGAGTCATTAAGGACAGATGGGTATTTATTCAATCTTAGAGCCAGGGAATGGGTCTTTCCCAGCACAAAATGACACCTCCTGCCACCAGCACCAAAGGGAAGGGAGAGCAGCATGTCCACCCTGCAGGAACATAAACCAGCCTCCCTCTGAGTAAAGCCATGAGACAAAGAGACACCCCACCTTGCCACCTAATCCAAGAGGGATGAGTGAAAGGCTGACTGTAGCTTCTCTTGTTGAGGATGAGAGCTTGACAGAGCAGTGAGTGATCCTCACCAACTCCATCCCATAGATCACTAGGACAAAGCCTCCACGCCTGGCACAGCTCTACGTGTCTTCTGTTTGAACCCCTCTGCACTGACAGCAGGGCTTATTCCATGAGAGCAATCATATGGAAGCAGAGAAAGGAAAGTGCTATTTTACCAGGCCTTTTCAAACCAGGAATTAAGACAGAAGTCTCTTCAGGGCAGAGGATTAAGCTCTATGGGCTGCATTCCTGTAAGCTCCTGCTCTTAGGCAGCACTGTGAATACAGCAATTCATCAAGGACCTGATGGCATGGAAGGGTGTTTTATTTCACCAGTATTTCTGCTTCTCTTTGTGAGACTCTCCCTGTCTGTACTCCGAGCAATTGTGTAGTGCCCAATCCCTTCCTGAAACAAAAGCAGCAGTGTCCTTGGGACCTTGCTCTCCAGCCTGGTCCATGTGTCCCCAGGAGCTGCACGCACAGATGTGGTCTCCTCAGTGCAAGTTTCCAGAATAGCAAGCCTTTGAGGCACTTCCCTTTTAGTAATCAAAAGCAGTGAACACAAAAGTCTGTTGTTTTTTTGCTGTCAAACGAAAACCACACTAAGGTCTGGACCAGCCTGATTTGTTTGCTGTGAGCTGCCTACCTTTGGGTATTTGTTTGGGTAGAAGAAGATGCTGCTGGAGGAGAACTGTCTCCATACCTGCTGTCAGCCAGCCTTCAGCAAGAGATGGTTGGAGCTTTGCTCCAGATAAGCAAGAAAAGCATCGAGCACTGAATTTACCCCTCTCTGCTACCCTGTTTTTGTTGGTTTTAGTCACAGCCTTATCATTATTTAAATGCTGGTTTTGAATTTAATTTCCGTGCAGGGAATAAGCCGTGACCTCGGAAAATGGCACCCAGTCAAGAATGCCATTTAATAACTGTATTGAGATCTGTTCAATGCAATATTCATCACAAAACTGCCTTAACCCCTGGTAAACTTCTAGGCAGCCTTCAAGACTTTCAGACCAATGCAAGTAGTTGTGTTGGCACAACACAGAGCAGCTGCTGCTGAAAACTTTCCTCTTGAGCATTTGCCTCAATCCTCCACTGCCAGCACCAAGGCAAACACCACAACCAAAGCTAAAGCCAAGCTGTAAATAAAGCACCACCTCTCCCCCTGCTTCCATTTAAATACAGCTCAACACACACACAGATCATAAAATATTTCAGAGACAGATAGAAAATGTTTCCAGGTTCATAGAATGCTTTGGGTTGGAAGAGACCTTTAAAGGTCATCTAGTGCAACCCCCCTGCAGTAAGCAGGAACATCAAGTTAAAAGGTTATTTTGGCTGCTCATTTGTTCCAAGGATCCCTTTAAACCATTTTCTCTGGTGCAAGCGTGCTCGTCCACACCACAGAGCCAAGCAGTGTCACTGCTTTGCAGGGGAGATAAGAACTGGTAACACATAAAAGGTGGCTGGAAGTTAAAAAGGCAAAAAAAAAAAAGAAACTAAGAATAAAAGAGAGAGAAGCTACAGTGCAGGATATCTTGTTCCCTGGATTTGGAACAGAGCTGCAAGAGCTGGGGGTTTGTTTCCTCCCTTTTCTCATTAAAAGGACAAAACAGGGATCTGACAGAAGCAGAAAGAGAGGAAAGGAAGAATCTCACCGAGGCAGATCTTTAACTGTTTTCCCAAAGTCCGGATCTGAGGCTTTTTTGTGGCTCCCATCCTTCAGCTGATGAGCCTCTGAGACCCTCATAACGATGTACCTCTGGGACCCTGGAAATGAGAGGCAGGTGGGAACAAGAAGCACGTGAGATGTGGGATGTGGTTGCCACCAAAGCACTGGACTCACAGGGGCAAAACACAACACACCATCCTCCCTCCAAAGGCTGCAAGGGAGGAGCAGGGAAACAGGGAAAATCCCTCTGGGAATGACAATTTAAGCACTGGAAGCTCTTCCTCTACCCCTACGTCCCCAGCGTGCATAAGGATGTCACCCCAAGGTCAATGTGAGCACGGTGTGGCCCCAGCCCCAGCTCCCACGTACCTGGGAGGCGCTGGGGGTAGCCCAGGATGGGGATGGAGATGAGGAGGGAGGCTGCTCCAGCCCCGAGGAACCCGATCCACCAGGCCCCCACCCACAGCGTGTTCTCCGGGGTGATCTCCACCCTGCAAGGAACAAAACCAGAAGGGCACAAGGGAGAGGGGTGGCGGTTTGAGACACAGCGGGACAGCTCCAAGTGTCCCCAGCTGTCATTTCCACTTTTGGGGTTGCTCTGATCCTTTCTCCACCCCAGAGCCAGCTTTTGCAAGAAAACGGGTGGAATTAACCCATTCATGGAAATGCATTTGCCCTTTTTAACCTGTTAATCACCCAAAGAGCCTGTGAGGAGATAAGAATAAATGACAAACACTACAAAGCAAGGAGGGACTAAGCATCCTAAGAGGAGACCATAATGCTCTCTACAACTACCTAAAAGGAGGTTGTAGTGAGGCTGGTGTTGGTCTCTTCTCCCAAATTACTAATGATAGGATGAGAGGAAATGGCCTCAAATTGTGCCAGGAGAGGTTTTGATTGGGTATTAAGAAGAATTTCTTCACTGAGAGAGTGAAGAACACTGGAATGGGCTGCCCAGGGAGGTGGTGGGGTCACCACCCCTGGAGGGGTTCAAAAAACGAGTAGATGCAGCCCTTGAGGCTGTGGTCTAGTGGTTAGGGAGATGTTGGGACGGCAATTGGACTTGATGATCCTAGAGGTCCTTTCCAACCAGAGGGATTCACTGATTCACCCATCCTGCCCGGACGACCAGGAGGCTGAGCAGCACTGTTGGTAGTGTTGCCTCATCAGGGAACTCTTTCCAAAAATCCACCTGCTGCTCGCAGCCTCATTAGCACAGGCAATGCGGCGTGAGGACGGATGGAAGCTGACAGGTTTGTCAGCAATTTTCTTCCAGCAGCAGCACTAATGCAAACCACCCTTCCAGCCTCACCCCCCGCCCCGCCACAGGAACACCCTGGGCATGGTTCCACCCAGCCATCAGGTCCTTTCTCCAGGTTCTTATTATTACTGGTTTTTTTTACCCCAACAGGAAACATACAGCATAAAAGAAAAGGAACAAGATTATTTTTTAGCAACTTACTCTCTGCCAATTTCAGTATAAATATTTAGAAACATTCCTCCTACCAGATAACCCGCTGCAGGGCCAAGGATTGCAGCAGTGTAGAACACAGCTGAAAGGGAAAAGAAGCCCTGTTAGAGAGAACACGAGTGGTGTTCCAGGCAGGGATGCTGCTGAGCACTGCCAGGACCCAGCACCCTCTCCTGAGCTGCTCAGCATCCTGCCACTTCTCACCCCACTCCCTAACCCACTGAGAAACCAAGCCAGAAGGTCTTCACAAGTCTTCATCTCACACTTATGTCCCAGGGAAACTTTTGCATCCAACCTGAGAATTTTTATAGCATGGGGCAGGCAAAATTGGTCCAGTGGAGGACTGCATTTAACAGGGATGTAGCTGACCCTGCTGCCATGTCCCAACTGCTGGTATGATGACCAGCGGTGTTGTCTCCCCCCTGACCACACAGCACCACTGTCACTCATTTTAATTTGCTGCCATGGAAAGATCATCAACATTTTGGCCAAGAAAGGTTGGACCTGATGATGCTTGAGGTCCCTTCTGACCTGGTATTGTATGATTCAATGAACTTACTGATGATCTTGTGATCTCCTTCTCTCCCTGCACAGCCTTCTGATACAACAGTATGGGCAGACAGCTAAATTATAAAGTTGCTGAGAAGGTCACCCCTTTGAGCAATTTCACCCAATAGGACTGTAAGTTTTTGGCAGTTGCTGAGTGATCAGTGACCCGGAGCAGAGAGAGCTGAGCCTCTTCTCCTGGCTGTGCTTTGCACCAGCAGTATCTGCACCTGCTCTGGCACTAAAGGGTGATGTCCCCTTGCATGGATGAGGTACGGCCTCACGGTTGCTTGCCAGAGATGCTAATGCCACACATGCTGGGGCACGCTGGAGGGCTGGCCCCGTGCCGGGAGCAGGAGGCACCTCCTGATCTGCAGGGCATGTGCTGCAGGAGGGAAAACACCCAACTGCCCTCTTAGTTCCTGCTTGTGAACCATGAAACCCTCCCCAAGAGCTGCCACGTCCCTCCGGTGACCACCTCACCCATCCTGGGGAACAAAAGACTGGAGTTTTCTCCAGAAACTGCTCCACGTGGCTTGGAGAGGGACGAGCTCTCCCTCCCACCACCCAGCCCAGGGCTCCGAGCTGTCCCTCGGGCCCGACTCACCAATGTACACAGGGGAGTAGTTGGTCTTGACGTTTTCGTCTAAATAGGTGACGCCGAGCGTGTAGAGGGGGGTGGCTCCCATCCCGTGCAGGAACTGCCCCAGCATGAAGACAAACCTGTAGCTGGAGAGGCCGGAGGCGGCCTGGGCGCAGGGCAGGCTCTGGTTCCTCCCGCAGGCACCCACCTCCGCCGCCGAACGC